AGAGTGTTCCAGCATTGGCTTCCGTCAAGAATGCCTCCACGATCGTATAGTTCCTGGCGTCCAGGCATTATCCAGGCCCTGGATAAGCTCATGGAGTCCTCGCACTGGGCGAATTTAGGGCGTGAGACCTCAGTTGACGTTGCCGTGAGGTGAGGTGAGATACGGATACAAAAGCTTCTAAAGCGGACACGGGGACAGGTTGATCGGCCAAACTCTTCAAGCTCTGACTTCGGGGTGCTGAGTCGGAGCCCATAGGAGGTGCTGATCTTTTCCTGTGCTCCGTAGGTACTCATACGAGAGCTACATGTATGTAGGCCGAGACTGAGCTCCCCATAGGATCTCGTACTCGAGCAAGCGTCATTCACCGAGGGGGTTGGTGAGTCCAACCGGGATCTACCTTGCTCCCTAGCCCGCGTTGACCATAGACGGTCAACCTTGGCTATAGTCTCAGCGATGTCGGCGTCAAAGGTCTCGATTTGTGCTGCAAGAGCGTCCTCCTTCTGACGGAGCGCATCAATCATCTCACGACCTTCGCGCACCTGCTCCACTGGTGCCAACTCATCAAGAATAATGTTGTCAATGGCCTCGCGAATGCGTGTCTCGTTGCCTCTCTCCATGCGGAGAGAACATAAAAGCTTGTTCTGAACAGCTTGGCCAGATGGTCGACAGTGCAGTCGTCAGGAGCCCCTCCTTCACTACCTCGTATACAGCTCAGCTGTGTCAGCTGTCACCATGATGTGGCACGTTGGTCCGTGGAGTAACTCCACTGGAGTTCCCGCACGCTCAGGCTGCTGAACGCTACTCGCCAATGGCAAGTAGCCTTCGGCAGTATAAAATGCTTGTTTATACGATGGCGAGTCGCCATCGTAGAAACATAGATCGTAACCTTTCATGCGGCTGACTGTAGTTGTGTGCATGTGCTTACCGCGGCCGAACGGAGCTCTCCTTGGCTTCCTAGGGTTGCATTTCTCTCGTTTCGCTGAGGGTCGAATGAACGGATTTGATTTCGTTGTAGTAGGTCGAAGCGCGTCCATGATAGCTCGATCAGGAGTAGGGGCAGACGGTTCCTGGCTGTGAGTATATATGTTGCTGTTAGAAGCTGTCAACTACGCCAGGTGCCCAGTATATTCAAATTTGAAATACGGAAGTCTCCTGGGCCCCAGGAGACTGTGAGTCTCCCCTGGGACCGGAGTTCATCTTCTGTGAAGAACGCTGACGCTCTGTGTTCGTGAATGCGTTTTCAAAGCACGGCTCTAGTCTTGTGGTAATCTCATCAAGGTAGAGTTTCCACTCTACCTTTCGATGGTGATAACGCCATCCGAGATGAAGAGGAAGGCGGTGGGAGATTTTCTCCCAGGGAGAATCAGGCAACGGGAATATTAGCGACTCATTGGTATTCTCATCCTCTCATCCGGAATGAGAGGAAAAGTAGACACGGACTGAGACTAGTCCGACCGCTAACGAAATGGCCGAAAAACATCAGACGACGGAGGTGTGGGCCTTGCCGGTGAGGATCGTATCGTACAGTTGCAACTGGTAGAATACCTACTCGTGTACCACTTATTCGTACACTTGCAACTTCTACAGTTCTCGATGATACACCTTTGATTCGTTTGATTTGAACACTAATGAGTCATCTTCCTTCACTCGGCACATCATCAATCGTACAGTCTCGTTTCGTACAGTCTCACTAGGTATAGTATCATATCGTACAGAGTAAGCGAGTACAGTGCAAATCAGTACATTGTTAGGGCATACATTCATGCTCGATACACAGTCTTGATACACAGTCGTACACCATACCCTCGTGCAACTTTATTTCATCCCTAATAACCCTACTTAGGTTCAAACCTGAGTCTTCTGGTACTAAGACTGGATTCACGGTGACTGCAAGTTGGCTG